ACCTCTGTTTCTCAAAACGCCTCTGCAAGTGCCATTTTTGACTTAAGTAAAACAAAGTCATTAGAAAAGATATTTTTTCCTTAACATCTCTGTTCTAATTCCTTTGGAAATCAGCATCTGAAATCCCTTTGTTTTGCTGAAATCAGTAAATCAGTGGGTTTTTTTCTTTGGTTGTTTGGTTTTGGTTTTTTTTGGTTGGTTGGGGTTTTTTTGAGGGTCTTTACCTCCCTAAATACAAGGAAAATTGGTTTGGTGGGGGTTTGAGGCTTCCTTTTCTTGTGTTTGTTAACTGATCTGTAATATTAATATAAAGTAGATTATCATGTTTCCCTCTCTTACAAAAAGCATAAGCATATTCAACAACCTAATTATTCCTAATTAAATAGAAAGTCACAGAACACTTCTCTCAACCAATATAATTTAGAAATGTCCTTGTGTTGATGGCTAGCAATTTGCAGAATTTATTTTTCAAATGAAAAAGACAGATGTATCTTTCCCTGATCTAAAGGGTCTGGATAAATTAGAACTAATTGGTTTTATGTGTTTCTGATAATTGAATGAGATGCATGTAAGCTGTATTATGATGGAGAAAAGAACAACCCTTAATTTATATAAATGAGATGCTGCAAATGACAGCATCTTGAAGTCTGTTAAAGGTTAGAATCAAACAGCAAAACAGAGCTCTACTTGTTAGAGTCGTAAAGTACATACCAGAGACCTTTACAGTACCAGCATAAATAAAATCACAAAGTGTTTTCAATGTAATTCATTCACTTCTAGAACTGATTGAAACATGAACAGAAAAAATCTCATGTCTCACTTTTCAATCTTAACACACTCTTGTGTGTACAGCCAACTACATTAGCAGAAATAGATAGCACTTCATGTGATTTTTGTAACTTGCCTGTTTGGAAGAATGCCCCTTCCAAATAAGAAAAAGTAACAGACATTATCAGGCAGCAAGCCAAATGGCAGCCAATTAAAACAGTTCAAGGACTTCCAGGCAAGTGCTTTAGAAACAAGCATTGAACTGGAGTTAACAGCTGCTAAGTTTGTCCATATTCTGTGAACAAGGAACATTCATTTTACATTCAATATATGCTCATTAAACAGTCATGGAAACATGGCTGTTTCATATTAAGCAACTACATAGTTGCACATCAGAATCTGGCACAAGAGTACAGCACCCTGGGTGGATAGTGCCAGTCTGATGCTAATTTATCAGCAATTTATCTGAAATGCACTAAGATACCTAAAGAAAGACAAGGAGAAGAGAAATCCTGGAGTTAGAGCACTTGAGAATAATACAATTTTCACATGATCCCATTATCAGTTACAGAATCAGAATCCCAGCATGGTGAGGTTTGGAAGGCACCTCTGGAGACCATCTTATCCAAGCCCTGTGCTAAAGCAGGTTCAGACAGAGAAGGATGGCATCCATTAAAGTTTGTAATCTATCCAAAGAAGGAGACTCCACAACATCCCTGGCCAGCCTGCTCCAGGCCTCTGGCACCCTCACAACAAAGTTCTTCCTTATTCTGGGTACTTCTCTTCTGGCAAGCTAAAGAAAGAACTGATATTTAAAACACAAAGATAGAGGAACTGACTGAAAAATATTTGGCAACACACTAACAGCTCGATTTATCTATAGAAGTCATTCACTGGTGCCAGGCAATCTGGTAGGTACACCAAGAAAAGTCATTTTAAGAGAACAGTATGAGCTCCACTTGATGCATCATCAGTCTGGGGTATAAGAAAAAGAAACACTGGCTGGTAGAAATGAATTCTGTCATGAACTGGGGCTAGTACAGCTCAAAATGTTAATACATTTGATGTGGAGAGCTTCCCCATCACAGATAGCCAGATCTCTGTGAAGGACAAGGGTTCCTCTGAATGGCTAGAATCATCTGATTGTTGACAGATAAAATGCAACCAGGTTACTAAAAGTTCATATGCACAAAAAGCTATGCAGACTCACCCTAGGAGCTCAAAAAAAAAAAAAATAAACCTGGTCTTTCACTTTTCCCACCCCTTCTCTTCTCTCCTTTTCTAAATATAAAGAAAAACATCATTTTTTTTCTGTGCAAATCCCTTGACACGTGAGTTTAGCTCTAGCCATCCCTACAGCAGACACAGGAGGAAATAAGAAAAACAAACCCAAACATAACCATTAGCAACTTTGTACCAAGCAGAAATGCAGATAAGTACACTAAACCACATCATAATCATAAGCAGCAAGCTTTCAACGCTAGATTTGTTCTATTTGCAACAGAAAACCAAACAGTAAGTGTCACAGAACTGCATCAGTTCAGATGCTCCTTTTGGTTTTTAGTTAGGATATCAGTTCCACCACTAGATCTTGAAAAGAGTGGGAAAAAAAAATAATTCAACAGAGGAAAGACACCTTCAAGTGTGTTAAAAATAGGAATGCAAAACTGAGATGCATTTAAATCATCATTGACTAACCAGAGAAATTACTAACACATCGAAGGAAACATTTTTAGTCCAAGCTTTGTTAGAGGTATTATCAGAAGCACTTCTTCCTTTCAAGAAGAAAGAGGTGGGAAGGGCAAACTGTTCAAATCAGATGTTGAAAACAGTCCGTGACTTTCTAGTCATCTCCAACAAGCACAAAGGTTTAACCCGCCTGCCAAGGGCTCTGGGCACACACTACAGCAGCCTCTGCTGCACGAATTTGCTAGTTAACCAGGGCTGGGAGCACCATGGAAGCAGTCAGCCCATCTGCACAAGGAAAAATAGCAATATTTGGAAAAGTAACTCAAAAGGAAAGAAAAGGTTATATTCATGAGAGAAAAGCACTGGCCTTAATCTACAAAGAGAATGCTTGCTTTCCAGTTTTATTTGTAGAATTTCTGGCAAAGAACTACTGTAATAAAACATCATTATATGGTAAAGTTTATAAAGAAAACTGAAGTGGAAAATACACCCTCACCTTCAAAACATAAAATGAGGCAGGAAATCAAATCGATGGTCTGTTGAGCCTGAAGGCTTTTGTTCTTATGAATTAGGGTTACTGAGGTAGTTTCTCCTGTAAAAGAAATTGTTGAAAAGATTACAATGTTGTCTCATATTAGAGCATAATGGATGGGGCGGCCAGAAGAAAAATACACCAGAGTCCAGATGCATGGGGAGAATACAAACAACTGTTTCATTGTTAGAACCTAAATACATTCGAATGTTTCCACCAATACATTAATGAAGGTCACTTGCCACCTCTCAACACATTCACAGGTTTTCAAGAGGAGCACTCAAAGACGGCTTTAAACATCTGAGGCTATGAACAAAATTAATTTCCTAAAACTATTTACATTTCCTAAGTAACCATGGAAATCATGACCTTTAATAAAAGGCATCTGAAATGAAGTTTCATATCTCACTGCTCATTGTTGCTGTGGTTAAAAACAACTGAAGCAGATGTGTAATCTTTGCATTAAAATGGGTAACAACATGGCCACAAGTGCCTACACTGCTGCTCTCTGAATTGCCTCTTCTGTAAACTCCTCTTGTAAAAGTTATGAGAGAACTGTGGAACAGAGGTGGAAGATGTAAAGCAGCATATAATGCTTCTCTTCCTATATTAAAGTTTCTGTGAACAACCTCAGGTGATTTACCTCTAAATGTGTTAAGAACAATTGTCAGACAAAAGCTTCTAATTAATCCCACTTCCAAAATTTCCCAATACAATAAGACTGACATCTTTGTGACTGCCACTTATACACTTTTATTTTAAAATCAAAACAGGGTTGGGGGAAGCTTTCAGGGTGCTTTGAAAAGCATCTTAAAAAACACAGTGGATGAAACTATTTAAAGAAGGAAAAAAAGTGTCCACCACATTCAGATAAAAACAAAACGAAGGAAGAAAAACTTTAAAGGAAGCCAAGACATGCTGCTGTGTTGGAGAACCCTAAATTACCTACATTACCAAAAGACACCCCTTAGATAATTTCAAAACTGTAACTTCCTGCCACCTCCACAGGAAACTAAACTACTGGGTACAATTAAGCATATCCTCAAAAAGAGCAGAAAGCCACCAAACCCTCTTTACATTAAAGTACCGTGTTGCCATGTAACAGCCAATGACCTTTACTGCAGGTAATGTAACTGCATTTAACCTTACGTTAACCGGGGAGAAGAGGAGGAAGAAAAAACCTTTTTATACAACACACATCCAGCAAGTTCAAAAGTACAAGTGAGGCCTTGGGATGACCAGATAGAGAAATTTAAGTGATTTAGTGAATCAAAACCACTCAATATCATCTTTTAGCTGTATTTCCTCTTTGCTCTTTTAATGTTAAAAGGCCTGCAAGGTAGCAACCTATAATCAAGCTGGATTTTGGATGCTGAACAGAGATACTCCAAACTGGTATACTGGAACAGTGGAAGTAGTAGAGTGCAGAAGCAGAATGGACTTGCCACAAATGCTGAGCTGAGGGAACCAAGTTCCATGCTAGTATATACTACCTGCTGAAATTAAGAAAGGAGTGTAGCAAGAGACATACAATATACTGTGTAAAAATTTCTATTCCATAAGGCTGAAGTCCCTTAGTGGTAACATATATATGTAGTAAAGTATACTAGACCTATTACACTTTCTACCCCACATCTTACCTTATAAACCTGGCCATATTGAGATCCCCAAGTTAAGAACGCCCCATTAATACCTTTTGCACATTACCTCTCAGCTTGGCCATGAAAAACTGCTTTTGGAAACACAAAATTCAGTGTGTGGGTAAAGAACATTACAATGAATAAAAATTAAGCAAATAAAATGCTAAAAAGTAAGAGCATGAGACCAGTTTTGTTTTATTCTGTTATTTCTTCATATTACTAAAAGAAAAACAAATCAAGGGATTTTTAAGACTTTTTATCGACAGTTTTACAAAATAAACTTTCATAACATCTTGAGGAGCACTCAAGACACCTCTTTGCTTCTTTCTTTTGTTTGATACGCAGGGAGAAATTGCATGTTCTTTGTGTGTTCACTGTAATGCAAGAACCTGTTGTTTATCCTCCAAAATTTCTTCCTCATCCTCCATTTGGCTTTCATCCCAGACCCTTAAAAGAAACATAACAGTTATTTTTCAGCAGCAAAAATTCCTCAAGCTTCTCTGCTTTAAGCTTTAATGACATACGTTCATGTATGTACAACTAAAAAGAATGAAAACAACTTTTGCTATATTTTGCAAGTAAACATACATCATTCATTTTTCCCCCCCTCAGTTTTTGTAATATACATTTTCACTTCTCAAACAAGTAGGAACTGAATGACAGTCACTGTTGTGCCTTAAAAGACAAGTCCCACATCCCAGAACAGGTAAGATGGGAAAGTGGGGAACTTGTTTAAAATTTGCCAAAATTTATAGTTTGAAGTCTTAACAACAAAATGTATCACTTAATCTGAGCTGCCTGAGAGTATTGGCTTAGAACACCAAGATACCAAACAGGCCATGCTGGTATATTTGTAATCAGCATGTAAAGTACAATCAGAAAGTCATGACTGTTTTTTATTTCAGTTCTGGCAACATGTTTGTAATATTGAGCATTTTACAATATCCTAAAACCATCCTGAGCAAGTTTAACTTACCCGAGAGTATCAACTCTGCTGTGGCCTTTTAGCTCCAAGTTTTTATGGAAATCTGCAGGATTTTCACATATCTTTCCTGCATGTCTGCTGGAGGAAGTTACATCTTCACAAGATAAGCTGAAATGTTTTTCAGGACCTGAAATATTATAGGTCATTTCATGAAGAAATATAAATGAAAAAATGCCTTATCTACACTACAAATTTTAAAGAATTTCACAGAATCAATGAGAACCTGCCATTAAAAGTCTCTCTACTGTGCCTGATGAAGGATGTCTCTACAAGCTCTCAAATAAATTATGACTTTTTATTATATGGTTCCTGTATCGTTAAAACTAGCAGAGAGGGTTTGCTTCTCTGATCTTTATGCCAGGAAAACATGAAACTTAATATATAGGGCCCAGTAATACCTACACAGCCCCAAAATACAGCAGCAAATGTAGAACTCAGGTGGCTTACTAATGGTAGTATGTATTTAAAACAGAGTAACATCCACCAATGTGAAAAGATGATCAGCTGGGGTCACAGTCTATACTTCTTCTACAGTACACATACAAGTGTGCTGCTATTTTCCCAGCTAGCCATAAGTCTCTGCTATGAACTTCTAAGTAAGTGAAATGTATTCCAAGAAAGTGGAACAAAAAGGGGTAGAAAGAACAAGACAGTTCAATAATATCTTCCCACTCTATTTTTCTCTGAGCATATTCAGCACAGATGTTCACTCTACAAGAGAAGCTCTTACAAGAACACATGGGTTCTGATAAGTATGTATCAAAAAAGGAAGGACAGCTAGCCTGAAATGTGGTATTCGGAAGACTCGGAAGACTCAGAAGAGCTGTGTGAAAAAATACAGCAAAACCTAAGGTAAAAACAAGATAGAACACTCTACTTTTGTTTGCTTAAGATTTATCATAGCCAAGATCTGCCAATATAAAAGCACCACAGCAGCTCAGGAAGAACCATGACACAGCCCAAGAGATACACTCTCTCAAGCCTGCTTGCAGCACAAAGCTTCTTAGGCACTGAACCTATCTGCTCGTTGAGATGGAACAGAAGCAACCCTTTTTTTTTTTTTTTTCCTCTGAGTACAGAGAAAATAAAGTATTCACTCATTCTTCTCAATCATAACCAGCTGACCTTGCCCACCTGCCACATCACCCAGCCCTGAAAAACAAGGAGATGTCCTTTAAAGTGACAAAGGAAAGTTAAGTCAAACACAAAATGAGAGGTAACAGCATGTCTATTGTGCCTTACTAGGGGCAGTTCTCATCTGGATAGAAGTATAATGTTTCTTGTCCATCTCTTCTCCTTCTTGCTGCCCTTGCACCAAATCACACTGAGCTTCTAACAACAGATGGGGTGTTCCTTATTAAATAGCCAAGGAAAAGATATTGTCTCCATTTATCCCATAGCCAGAGCTAAACTACATCAGTTGCTCTATCACTCAGTGACCACTCCCCAGCTGAGAAAGGGGATTAGAAAGCAGATTCAATGAACTAGCAACACTAACATTACTATTAATGCAAATATAGAACACATAAAGTTATACTCAGCCCAGTGACTATACAGCAATCATAATAAACAGGAAGTCAGTCCTCAGGCAAAGAATGGTGTGTGAGCTCCTCCAGGAATGAGGAGGAGCAGGAGTAGCCTCATCCTCAAACTTCCCCCCTTTATAGGGAGTGTGATGTTTATGGGATGGGATATGCCTGGAGCCAGCTCAAGAGAGCTGCCCTGGCTGACTCCAAACTGCTAATGGCCTGCAGACCACCACTGGCCTGGGATTCTGTCCCAGTAAAACCAGCTCAGGCACCTATTTAAAAGAAATTCCTGATGCAAAATACCACCTGCACATCCTGCAGACTTTTGCAACAAAATTCGAGTGATAAAAAAAAAAAAGACATAAGAAAGTTGTGTGAAATAGTTTGCTGCTACTACATTAAGGGTAGGTTAAAGTACCATCAAATGGAAATAAATCACTGTTAAACCACAAAAATCTTGCATCATCAGTTTAGTATATTTTTGCATCAAGACCAATGAGATCTGAGAAGGCAAATGAAATAACTACTTGTTTTTGTTATGTTCCTCGTCAGCATGACTCAAAAAAGAAAAACCATCAGTATTGCCACTTACCTGGACAATTTTGTAATTCTTTTTCCAGAGTAAGTAGAGCTTCTTGGTCAGCGATATATTCCCAAAGATACTCCTCTTGTTTAGTTACATCAAGGCACTTGTGTTCTGATCTCTTAGTACCAGCTCCAAATGTACGTGTAGGTGAACTCTTTGGTCTTGGCTGTGTGTTTGTCGGACAGCTTCCTGCCAGTTTACTCTGTAGTGTATTTGTTGACCAAGGTCTTTTAGAATCATTCCCTGAAATAACAGAAAAGGTCACAACTTCTAATAATTCAAGATTTTACACAAAGAATTTTATTTCAGCTTAGTAATGACATTAATTATAGTTATAATTATGAATTATTTGAACATATTAATTTTGCTTAAGATTGTGAATTAATAAATATTAATAAAATTAATTACATTGTGAAGTACCACCTCATACTTCAGGGTATCTTTTAGGAAAAAATATTTTAGTTAAATATTACATACAGTGGCAGATTTTCTGGGAGGGGAGAGACTGAGACTGCGTGTAGAAGCTTAAAACTTTGTGGGGTTTTATTTTTATTTTAAGGCAACATGAATAAAATGTAGACACTTTCAAACATTTTTCAGTGATGTAAAATTGGCAGTTGCAATTTCTACACATACCATTTTTGAAACTAAAATGCTGAACTGGTTGGTTGAAAGAAATAATGTAAGGTACGTTCCTTGAGACAGAGACAGTTGAAACTGAGAAAAATCACTAAAAAGTGCAGATGCTGTTATGCTTCCCTTGTTTCCTGTTTCATATAGTGCATGTAGCAAGACTTATTTCAGTGGGAAGAAAGAAATCTTTTATTAGATCAAAGCCATATTGTACTAGATGCTGCAAAACACAGTAATACATAAACTTATTCTAGACAGTTCATTATCTAAATATTCAAGCTAAGAAGAGAGTAATGAGGTAGAGGCAGGAGTAGAAACTAAGCACAATAAAACGAATTGTTAGTGACAGCTGGAAACAGATAATTTTTAACTCAAAAGCCTATACTTATGAAAACAATGCCATGATGGCTTATAAGCCATTATAGCCAAACCAAAAATACATAGATGAAGGCATAAAAATGACTTAAATTCAACACAATCATCACAGACAGCACTTCTACTCTTTACATAAGGAAAATTAACCCATTAAAGTAGGACTTCAAAGCTGTTGCTCTCCTTACCTGGGTATGATCTCCATGCTGCCATCAGGGGAGAAATTCTATTTTGAGTCTCCAAACCACGTGAAGGTCTATTCAGCTGACTTTCTAAGACACCCTGAACTACAGAGTCATCAGCACATTCACTGAAGCTCTTTTCAGTAACCCACCTTCCATCTCCTGAAATTAAGCAGTATTAGCAGAAATTATTTGCACGTTTTGTATTAATATGCACTTACTGCTACTGTATTTGCTGCATTTAACATGTGATTTAAACAAGTCCTGCTTGTTTAAATAAATTTTCTACACATATTGTAAAAAAAAAAAAAAAAAAAAAAATTCCTATATAACACTAACAAGCTTAAATTCATGGGATATTGTTGATGGAATTCATACTCACGTTCACCCATCATTTCACATGTTACTTCATACACACCACAAAAAAGGATTTTTTAATGATGTATATTACACACAAAGAGAAGCAGAAATTTCTCCTGGAACCACATTTCAGGGGATATAAAAAAGTATATAAATCTATGGACTATATTGATGTAATTTACTCCTAGGTAGTAAGTTTATTTTACCCTTGTACAACACCAGTTGTGTTTGTTGGCATAACTGTTACCCCAAAGTGACTTCTACGAGAAGCCAGTCCCAAGTTACACAAGGAGATGGATATCTAACAGAAACAGGGATAAATATCTATATTGTTTGAGGGTTTTATTCATATGCCATTACCTGGAAATGGTATACTACTGTCCACAGGACTAGGGTCAGCACACAGTGAAGAATGTGCTTCCAGCATTACTTGTTTAGAGTTTGCTCCTACAACAAAGAAACCTTCAAGTCCCCAGTATGGTGCAGAAACAGGTTTCTGTCTTGTGGCTATATCCTGTAACTTGAATAAAACATTAAGATATTAGAAACAGGGGGGGAAAAAAAAAAAAAAAAAACCAACACCAGGAAACTTCAGTTGTTCTTGCAAGTTCATATAATAAAATGCTCATTTCATAAAACTTGGAATGATTCTGATAGCCTGGTGCAATAGATATTCATAAGGATGATGGTCTTGCATGATAGATGCTTTAAAAACCTAAAAATTTCCATGTTTTGAGAGTCTGAGTTTATTCTTCCAGTGATTTAATGTGAAAATAGAGTGACTTAGGCTGGAAGGGACTCTAGAGATCATCTAATCCAACCTCCTTGTCATGGGCAGGGACACCTCTCAACTGGACTAGGTTGCCCAAGGCCTCATCCAACCTGGCCCTAAACACCTCCAGGAATGGGGCAGCCACAGCCTCACCAGGCAATCTATTCCAGAGCCTCACCACCCTCGTACTGAAGAACTTCTTCCCAAGATCTAGCAGTTTCTTTCTTTTCACTTATCATTGTACATCAGCTATAGTATTACTGTTTAACAGTGACTCCAAAATCTAATGTCCCAACCTCCTCCATGATTTTTTGCTTTCAGTTTTATTTTCAGCAGAAGAACATGTGGATAATTTAGGTTAGATAAGACTAGCTACACTTTTTTAAATCAAACTGAGAGGTGAAGTAACCTTGATACAAACATGGGAAGAGCGCCCTCCTCCACAAACCTCTTTTTTGTTGTTTGTTTTGGGACTAGTCTGTTGTTTCTTTTGGTTGTTTGTCTTTTGGTGTTTTTGTTGTTTAGGGTTTTTGGTGGGATTTTTTTTTTTTTTTTTTGGAACATCAACAGAAGACTGACAATACTAAGTGGAAGACAAAGAGGTGTTCATCCCCTACGTATGAAATATGGTAGGCAGTGACAGCCCTCTGACTGAAACTACACTTGGCTGCTTTGGGGTGAGGTTTCTGGAGGAGAATGGGGAAAAGTGGTAGAATAATTCCTGGTAACCATACAATCATCACCATCTCTCAAGCTGATACAAGAACATGGTATGTTGCGTCCTGCTAAACTAGGAAAGTAGATCAAGCAACATAGCTTATCTAGCAATCAAAGATATAATAATTTACCATTGAAGACTCTGTAATTATACCCAAAATCAAACTATTGCAGGCACTGTCCAGTTCTTTTGAGTCTCCATCAGGTTGCTGTAGTCGTGTCTCTAGGAGATACTTGTTGCTCATTAGTTCAGTAGGGTTAGAAATCTTCACAGGTGGTTTAGAGGACCCAAGTGATCTTCTCATAGTCTTTAATTTAGTACTCTCCTTTTGCACTGCATTTCTTTCAAGACTGCAGACAACTATTTCTTCTACAAGGGTATAAAAAAAACTAACATTAAAATAGAAATATTTTTTTTAATGTAAATGAATATGAATTGTAACCTGCAAGTCCAATATATTTTTTTCATGAACTTAAAATACAAAATCTCCATTGAAGTTGTCCCTAAACTGTTCTTATTTGTAATTTATAGCTAACTTTCATCAGATCCCTGCTTGATATAAAGAGATGCCAACACACACGGACTAGACTTACCAGGTAGCAGTACCAATTCTGTATCTGACATATACATTCCAGTACATCATTGTCTATGAATAATAATCTTAACACATTTCCAACTACTTTTTCATGCTAATGTAAGTTATTTACATTTAGAACACTATAATCTAACCAGTGCCAGCATAAGAACTGCAATAGTAGCAATTTCACACCATTTAAAAGTAATACAATGGTTTAAAATACATACTATCAGTCTGTGAATGATTCTGTAAGCTGTTTTCCTTTGTTTATACAAGACACAGACATTTTATTTTTTACCCTGTGCACAAAGAAGCACATAAATCACATCTCATTAGTCAGCTCTTTTTGGCTTTTCCATGTTTGAAGACTTAAGCAATTTCTTGAACTAAGCTCAAAGGGAACAAGTGCCAGGTTCTGAAGTGCTGGAGCAATTGTGTGGTACTTAAATGAAGAAGAAATGCTACATTCCAACTTCTTTCTTAAGGTTAAAAAAGTGACAATCTATTTTATGTAGTTTTAGGACGCAGAGTAAGATCTTTGGGATCTTTTCAGAGTGCCACAAAATAAAGCTGCCAAACTTCCACAGTGATTTCACTGACATGCACTAAGCACTGGAATACTTACACCCAAATGATAATCTCTCATGCAGAACAGGCAGTCATTTATACTGTTTCTCAACCTATATATATAAAGCATTTGTCTACATGAAAGAAACGTGCCATACACTAAATCTAACACTGTAGAGATAAACCGAGATATTTTCAAGATCACTTCATCTGATTTATACTGGGTTTGTTTTCAGTACAGAACTCATATTGGGGAAGTCTATCCCTCAAATATGGGCTCACAGCCATGAGATTTTTTCAAAATAACTTGCACAGCCCATCAAATTGTGGTCAAGGGACCCACATAGCTCAGGGAATGGTACATAATTTAATTATCTTTAATTATTCTTTTTCAGGCAATCACTATTGGTAACTACCACATCCTATCTGACAATGATAAAACTGTACACAGGGATGTATACTGTACAAGTAACTTTTAAAATTTACCTTGAGAAATTTCTTCATGAGAAACAGGATTTCTGTCAAGAGGAAAAGGTAAAAAATACTGAGTGTCAGCCGTGGAAGTTAAATGATGAGATGACTTTCTCATTAGGCCCACAGTTTCTCTCTGCAAAAGGTCTTGCACTGTCTTATTCTGATCTGCAGCTGCTGCACCACTTTGA